CTCTCTCTCTCTCTCTCTCTCTCTCTCTCTCTCCCTCCCTCCCTCCCCCTCCCTCCCTCCCTCCCTCTCTCTCTCTCTCTCTCTCTCATGTGGAAACATTATATATGGTGTGTGTGTGTGTGTGTTTGTGTGAGGTGTGTGTGAGAAAGTGAGAGAGAGATAGAAAGGGAGGAAGAGAGAATGTAATGCAAAACATTCAAAATGCTTAGGTGTTACTGAATGCTCGGCCCTTAATAGGACTCTCAGGGACTCTCCTGAGGCCCAGAGAACATCACAGAAGAAACAGCAGAAAGACTATGAAAGCAGGAAGATGGAGAGGGGGTGATATGAAACACATTTCTGGAAATAATTCAATAGTAGCTGTGGTAACCTTCACAAGACTGGGCCTGTCAATATCCCATCCTGGGTTAGAAGAGGGCTCATCTTGGCAGGTAATAGCTAGCAGGACAAAGAGAGCCTCTTCCTTCAGTGGTTAGTTGTCTATGTTCACTCAAGTAAATAAGCCCATATTCATCCTCATACAAGAAACCCTAGATGAGAAACTGTCTGGGAGAAGGGAGTAAGAGTCAGAGAGCTAGGAAAGGAGAGGGTACATACATGAAACTATCAATAGTGTCAACAAAAGGAACGGTCATCAGGCGTTAGTATTTGTGCTGTGACGTACTTGGAAGACATCCCTGTAGACAGTACCAACAGCAGTTGGAGAAACAAGTCTGAAGTTCAGGGAAGAAAAAAGTAAAAAATACAGAAACTTGGCCAATTGTAAAGAGATGACATTAAACACTTTGAATATCAGACGTAGCTCACTGTTTGTGGGTATCAGAGCAAGATACAACAGCAACCAGTCAGCATGTCAACTGGTAATTTGCAAATTGCTAAGATAATTTATAAAGAACCAAGGGAGAAAAATGCTGTATTAGAAAATCACATGGAAAGCTAACTATTCTAACACTTAAAAGCAGAGTCTTATCACAAAGAGATAGTGTTTCCAGTATAAAATTCCAAGATCTCTAATAATATTACACTAAAACATGGTATGAAACACTGTGAGAAAGAAAATTTGTCAACTAAATGGTTAGCAATCAGTAAAAGTAAAAGACTGACACATATCTGGATCTTCTATAACAAAATAATTAAATGATTTATACAACAGGTATTTATTGTTCACAGTTCTGGAAGTTGGGAAGTCCAAAACCAAAGCACTAAGATTCAAATATGACAAAGGCCATTTCTCACTAATGGTGCCTTCTATTAATGTGTTCACACATGACAGACGCTGCCAAAGGCTCCCTAAAGAGTCTCTCTTTTAAAAAAAAAAATTTTTTTTTATTAGGTATGCAGCACGTATGCCTCCAGGCCACTCCTAAAGTCTCTTCTTTAAACAGCATTAATCCATGAGAAAAGAGCTTCCCAAAGGCTCAACTTGTTATATTCCAGATTAGAATCCAACACAGAATTCTGTTGTCACTTTCAGACTACAACAAAACTACGTGCCTAACATAGAAGACTGACATGCTTTTAGGTAAACAATACTGATTCCTCAACAGAAATAACAAAAACTTCAAGAGTTTAACACAGAAAACAACTCAAAAAAAGTGTCAGAATGACATATCTCCAACTTCTTACTTACCTTCTTTCAAGAAGTTCAAGAGTCCTTTATACAAAGAATTGAGAAAAAAAAACAATCCTCAGGCAGACATGATGGCGAATGCCTATAACCCTAGCACATGGGAGACTGAGTCTGAGACCAACCTAGATTACATGGGAGATTTTGAGCTACAGTCTGAAACTCTAAATAAAATCCTGCCTTCATTGGAAAGAGAGGGTGGGGGAAGAAATTCAGAAAAATAAAACCAATTCAAACGAAGTGCGCTCCTATAATGTATGTGTGTGAGTGTATATATCGAATATATTGTTATATAATTTATATACACATATGTGTGCACACACAGACATTGGGCTTCAGAGATGGCACAACTGGTTAAAGCACTTACTGTTCTTGCAGAAGACCCAGGTTCAGTTCACAGCACACGTATGTTGACTCACAACCATAACTAACTCCAGTCCAGGGATTCTAACACCCTTTTCAGCCTTTTCTGGACTCCACAGGTTTACACACATTCAGGCAAACAGACACAATGAATAAAAATAAATCTTTCTTCCTTAAAGATATATTTAGACATAGACTTGAATTATCTGTTTTGTTTGTAATATTTTCATTCATTAATAAATTTTTGCTGGATGTTTTATAGAGTATCCTAGGGAAACTGAGGTAATACTGTTTTTGTAACATTTTCTTAAAGTATTTAATGAACAGTAGGCCATCTAGACCAGACTGTACAACAAAAATATAATAAAAGCCACTTACACAATTTTTAATGTTCCAGGCAGCAGCTACATTTTGAAAACTTTAAAAAGTGACTAATTTTTATAACTGACGTTATTTAGGTCTCTTTGTTTATTTTGAGAGAAGGTCTCACTTTATACCCCACGTGACTTGGAACTTGTAGTGATCCTTCTGCCTTGTAAGTGCTAAGACTTCAAGCATGAACCAGCACACAGAGCTAGTATATTTTATCCAATATAAAGAAATATCATTTCAAACAAGAAAATGTTATTTTAATATGTACTCAGTTTTCTTAAAATTAATGATTTATGACTTTTTTCAAAACAAGTCTTCAAAATTTGGTATCGTTTATACTTACAGTATATCTAAGTCAGACTAGACATACTTCAAGTGCCCAACAACTCTGTGGGCTAGCAGCTAAAATACTAAACAGTACAAATCCTATGTAAATATTTAAACTAGGGTATCAAAGATTCATGGTAATTACATTTTAAAGACATACGTAGTATAAAGGGCTGTTTTCATTGTTGTGTCTCCTTGAGTGACTCACTGGAAAGTGCTAAGCAAAAGGAAACAAGGATGTCACACCGCAAGGGAACACCACAGACAGGGAGCTCACACCTTCCAACAGTAACATTTCCACACTGAATTAAAATAAATCATACACACTTGAAGCTTACCTCCTTAAGTTCATCTCTGCCAATGTCTTTGTATTTTTAGTAAGAAAAAGAAAAGCACATTAACGCAAGCCAAAAAAAATCTGTCCTATTTCAACTATGTCTATCAATTATTAACTTTCTTCAAACAAATCTCTAATATTGCACTAAACTATTTCTTCACCTTTTTCTGGGGCTGCCACATACACTTTTTTTTTCTAAGAAGAAGCTGAAATGAAACCATGTAAATGAAGATGATTCTCTGCTCTCACGTCGTACATCTGAGTTCTCTGCAGCCCGGCTTCCACTTTCTACCACTTAAATCAGACAGCTACAGACATAAGGGGCGGGGTCTCCACAGGAAAAATGCTGGTGACATACCTACTGTGGGGTCAAAGGGAGTAATTCTGCCAAGCACTTTTTATCTTGGACTTGTAAACTACACGACTTCCTTACCAGTGGTCAGAGAAACAAGAGGGTAGCAGGGTAAAGGAGAAGAAGAAAGCTAGTCTTCAGGTACGACCTTTTATTTGGATTTTTGTTGTTTTTAATAAAGTTAAATGTATCTTTCTGCTAGGCCTGACATGGGCTTTTGAAAACTCAAAGCCCACGGCAGTGACATACCTCCAACAAGACCACATCTCCTAATCTTTTCCACCAAAACAACTCTACCAATCAGAGACCAAGCATTGAAATACCTGAACCTACAGAACCATCCTCATTCACAGTACCACAGGAGACTCATACCTGATTTACAAACTATTACAAAGCTATAATAAAAAGGCAACACAGTACAACCTTATGACCATAAATAATAAATGTGAACAGAATGAAACTGACTGCAGATAAAGATTCAAACATCTATGAACAACTGATATCTAACTAAAGTATCCAAATAATTACAAAAAGAGCAAGTGATCAAGCAAAGAAAGGAACTGAGTATGGTACACACTTTCAATTCCAACACTAAGGAGACCGAAGAAGGCAGATCTCTGGGACTTGAAAGCCAGCCTGGTCCACATAGAGAGTTCCAAAATAGCTGAAGCTACACAGTAGAGAAACTGTCTCAAAAAAAATAGTTATTTTAACAGATGCCATAAAACCATCAAACATGCACACAACCGTACATCTCCAGTTTCAGGAGAGCCAAGGCCCTCTTTTGGCTCACTGAGAGCATCAGGCATATATGTGGTAGACATTGATACACATACACACATACACACATGCACACATACATATATACATACATACATACATGCAGGCAAAACACCCATACACATAAAATAAAAATCTTAAAAAGCTTCTCAAAACTCTGATCTTATATCACATACAAGCAAATTTAGTAAAATCACCTGAACCCAGGAGTATGAGGGACAGCTATCAATCTAGTTAGGTGACATCTCTTGTAACAACATCAACAAAGTAAAACTCTAAGAAAATACAGAAGATACTTTGTATGATCTTCTGTCACCAAACACACTGACCTGGAGGTCAGTCTTTAAGTTGGTACTTCATCAGAACTGTGGTGCTGTAGAATCGAGGTGCTGAGTTGGCAGGTCAGTCATGCATAACCTGTACAAACATGAGGTACTATCTGTGTCTGGATCCTCTGCCCCATGGAAAGCTGGGCATGGAGCCATTGCCTGTAACCCAGCAGAAGGTGAGAGGGAGAACACTGACAGGCAGGTCCCTAGAACTTGCTAGCCAGATAATCAATGAGCTTCAGGTTCAATAAGACACTGACCCAGAAAGTACAGTGGAAAGCAACAGAGAAGACATCCAGCATAAATCTCTGGCTTCCACCTCCACATGTGCACTTACATCCATGTTGAACACATACCCACATCCATGCGTGTGGACACATGCGTACACGTACACACACACACAGACTTCTATTTAGGAGAATGACAACCACTAATGGGAAAAGAAGATAGGAAAATCAACCTCCTGAGAAAGAATGTGCATCTTAAACAAAGAATTCTCACAACAGTGGCTGGAGAGATGACTCAGCAGTTAAAAGCACTGACTACTCTTCCAGAGAACCTAATTTTGATCACCAGGACCTACACAGTGGCTCTTCACTATCTTTAACTCAAATAGCAGGGGATCCAATGCCTTCTGGCCTCCATGGGCACCAGGCATTCATATAGGATACTCATGTATATACATGCAAGCAAAACACCTATACACACATGATAAAATAAAAATAAAGTTTAAAAAAGAATTTTCAGATATACTAAAGCAAACAATATAAATTTGTAAAATCAGACATAATCCAGGCATGGTAGTACCTGCCTTTACTCCTAGCCCTGGTGAGGCAGCTGCAGATGGATGTCTGAGTTCAGGGCCAGCCTGGTCTACATGAGTTTCAAGTCACCCAAGGCTACTTAGTGATACCCTGCCTCCAAAAAGCATCATTATTATTATTATTAATTTTATTTTATTATTTCAAACAAGTAACAAGAATACATTAACAGTAGAAAAACACAAATGAATCTGCATGCACTACTGGGGCTGGAGAGATGGCTCAGAAGTTAACAGCTCTTGCTGTTCTTACAGAAGGCCCAGGTTCCCAGCAACCAAACAACAACTTTAACTCTAGTTCTAGGGAATCCAACACCCTTTCCTGACTTCTGCAGCTACCAGGCACACACATGATGTTCAGACATATATGCCTGCAAATGTTTACCACACACTTAAAAATAAATAATTCTTTTTGTTGGTGGTGGTAGTTTTGTTTTTGTTTTTTTGAGACAGGGTTTCTCTGTGTAGTTCGGGCTGTCCTGAAACTCTCTCTGTAGACCAGGCTGGCCTCAAACTCAGAAATCTGCCTGCCTCTACCTCCCAAGTGCTGGGATTATAGGCGTGTGCCACCACTGCCCGGCTAAATAATTATTTTTTTAAAAAGAATGCATTATTTTGAGATATGGTGGCATGTGCCTGCAGCCCCAGAACTTCTCAGGAGATGGAAGTGTCCTCAACTACACATTGAGTTCCAGGTCAAATAAGAGATCTTAAAAAAAAAAAAAAAATAGTGAAAGTAAAATAAAATAAAACCATGTGGTATCAATACCTATTAAAATGGCTAAAATTCAAAACCACTTGCCTAACACACATGAAGCTCTTGGTTCAATCTCCCAACACCACATAAACTGTGTGGTGCATCACCTGTAGCACCAGCACTCACCAGATAAAGGCAGGAGAATAACAAGTTCAAGATCCCCCTTAGCCTGGGCTACATGAGACCCAGTCTCGGAAAAAAATGTTTGATCATAATTAAAGTGATGAAGGTAATCTCATCTGGTCCTAACTCCACTTTGGTCTGCTTAGACACTTCTCAGCCTTGTACCCCGTAACAGTGACATCAGTGTTGACAACACAGTTGGGATTTCCATGACCCTAGCCATGGTTCAGATGTATTAACCAAAATAATGTTTACATGAATTTGAACTAAAATAATTGAAGAAGATATGGAAGGAACAATTGTCAGCCAGGTGGTGGTGGCACACACCATTGATCCCAGTACTCAGGAGGCAGAAGCAGCTGTGAGTTCAAAGCCAGCCTGGTCCTTACTTTCTTTTGTAGATGATGGTCCAGACAGTTCTGGAACTCACTATATAGGCCAAGCTAGAACTCAAGCTCAGAGTCTGGCTCTGCCTTGTTGAGTGTTAAGATCACAGGAGTGCACCCACACCCACCTCTAAAGAGTTCAAAATTTAACTGAGTAAAGAAAATCTGGATTCCTAAAAGAGGAAATAATTACTGTCTCACTCTTATGGGAATGAGATACCTTGCCTTCCATAGGATTTCTCATTCTAAAATAAAATCAGGTACCTAGACTAGACTGAATTATTTTATATTTTAACCAAAGTAAACTACTTAGAAAGTTTAAAATAAAAAAGGAGAACTGAGAACACAGGTCAGTAAGGGAGTCTCTGCCTAACATGCAAGGGCTAGGGGGTCACTCCCCAGCTCTAAAAACTACATAAAAAAAGTTTTGCCCTAATAATTCAAAAAATTTTCGCAGAATTTAGAGTCTAAAGTACTAATAAAAAAAATGGAGAGCAATATTAGCTAAAGCATATCTTAGTCTTAAACTAACTTCCTAGGGTAATGCCTGAAGGGGTCTGTTAATTCTGATAAACAAAGGACCAGAAACCAGGAAACAAGGAAACAAGCATTCTTAGTAGAAATGAATACTTAAGCTGGACTGTGGTTTGGTTTGTATAATAACCAAGAGAAAAGTCCAGCAACTGTCCAACTCACCTGTTCTGTTCCTCCAGCTTAGCCAGCAGTTCTAAGTCGTCTGGACTCAACTTTGATGGGGAAGATGGTGACTGTGTTGGTGTTGACAGTGTGGTGGATGAGGATATGGTGTGTAGTGAGGCAGATGGACTTGCCACCTGACTGGCCATCTGACTGACTGTGTGCGATACAGTGTTCTTCACCCATGAGAGAGTAGAACTCAGCTTTTCTGTCACCTTGTCTGTCGCCACCTAAGAGTAAGAACAAAATGCATATGTTAGTTTTATTCCAGTCATTACCACAAACTTGGTGATCCTCGTAAGTTTAACACAAAAAAATCACTGAGATGATGAGGACTAAACCTGGTTCTGCTATGATTCTAACATCCAGACATTGAAACTGGTTTTTTAGATCTATTTGTTTTTATTTTATGTCTGCCTACATGTATGTATATATACCATTCGCATGCCAATTGTCCTCAGAAGTCAGAAGAGAGTGTCTGATGCTGAGACCAGAGTTATACATGGCTGTGAGATGCCATGCAAATGCTAGGAACCACACTCAGGTTCTCTAGAGGAACAGTAAGCACTTAATTCACAAGCCACCTCTCCAGGCTGGGAACTATTCATTTCTACTATATTTCTAACATCAACAAACCAGAGAGTGTTTTCCAAGCAATAAAGTGAAGCCTGGTCTGATGGCACACACTTAATTCTAGCACTCAGGAGGCAGAAGGAAGGCAGGTCTCTGTGACTTCAAGGCCAGCCTGGCCTACACTCCTGGTTCCAGAAGCATCAGGACTACTAAGTGAGACCTTGTCTCCAAAATATCAAAGGAGGATGTTCTCTTACAAAATTTATATTTCACTAACATATACCTTAAAAATCTATATAGTACTTGGCTTCCTGTTGGAGTGTAAAGATGTGATCTCTCAGCTTCCTGCTCTGGCCTTGTGCTCATGACGCCTTGTCATTGCAGACTCCCCATTGAGAACTACAACCCAAAAGGAACTTTCTTCTACTAAAAAAAAATAAAAGTATATATACACACACACTATTCGTGTATATATGGGAATATTCCATCAAGATATAAGTACATTTTTTCTTCTTTCTTTGTAAAGGATATTCTTTATTGAGATTTTGGTCAAAAAATATTTAAAAGCCAAGGAAGGAATATCAGGAGGAGTGTGCTTAACATGCAAGACTAACAAGATTGTGTGTGCGTGCGTGTGTGTGTGTGTGTGTGTGTGTGTGTGTATGTGTGCATGCTTGATATTCAAAGAAGTTGGTTAGTTCTATCCTTCTACCAAGTGGATTCCAGGCTTGGTAACAAGCACCTTTACCTGCTGAGCCATCTCACCAGTCCTAATAGATTTACATAGAATTGTACATTTAAAAAATTACCATAGCCAGGCAGTGGTGGCGCACACCTTTAATCCCAGCACTTGAGAGGCAGAGACAGGCGGATTTCTGAGTTAGAGGCCAGCCTGGTCTACAGAGTGAGTTCCAGGACAGCTAGGGCTACACAGAGAAATCCTGTCTCCAAAAACAAAAAAAAAAAAAAAAAAAAAAAAAAAACCATTAAAAGAGTCTGTATGGAGCAGGCTAGATGGTTCCACAGTTAAAATCACTTTTTTTTTTTTTGTTTCGAGACAGGGTTTCTCTGTGTAGCCCTGACTGACCTGGAACTCACTCTGTAGACCAGGCTGGCCTCGAACTCAGAAATCTGCCTGTCTCTGCCTCTCAAGTGCTGGGATTAAAGGCGTGTGCCACCACTGCCCAGCAAAATCACTTTCTCTTGCTGAGAACCAGAGCTTGATTCAGCACACAGGGTCACTGAACGATCTAGAGCCCTGGTTCTAAACCTGGAGTCGAATGACCCTTTCATAGGCTTCACCTAAGACCACCACAAACATAGATATTTACATTATGATTCATAACAGTAGCAAAATGAAGGGTGTGTGTGTGTGCGTGCGTGTATGTGTAGGTGTGTTTGGTAATGAAATAGCAACGAAAAAAATGTTATAACTGTGCATCACCACAACATAAAGAACTGTATTAGAGGGTTGTAGCATTAGGACGGTTAAGAACCACTCACTCATCTAGACTATCCAATAACCTCTGTGGTCTCCACGGGCACCTGCATGCATGTGGTACACAAACATACACAGGTACATACACACATAAAGTAAGTAAATTTTGCTGTTGTTTCATTTTTGTTTTTGAGACAGGGTCTCTCTACATTGCCTTGGCTACTCTGGAACTCGCTACATAGATGTACTCAAACTCACAGACATCCACCTGCCACTGCCGCTTGAGTGCTGGGATTGAAGGCATGAACTACCACACTTGAATAAGCAATGTTTCTTTTAAAAGACCTTGTGGATTAGCAAAATGGCTCAGTCAGTAAACATGCTCACGGATGCCTAGAACCTGAGCTTGATCTCTAGAAGTCATGTAAAAGATGGCAGGAGGGAACAAGCTCCACAAAGTTCTCCTCTGTCCTCCATATGTGCACCATGGCAAACACACCCATGTATACTTACAGTAATTAAAAAAACAAAAAACAAAACTTGTCACATATGTAACCATAAAGATTACAAGCCATGCAGTACTTGTATGACCTTAAGATTTCAAATCTTATGTGATAGAAGGAAAAAACTTAAGCACTATAAACTATCTTCTGAATTAACATGCCAGCCACCCTTAAGTTTATGTACAGTAATTGATGCACAGACATTAAAACACCAATGCATGGCCGGGCAGTGGTGGCGCACGCCTTTAATCCCAGCACTTGGGAGGCAGAGGCAGGTGGATTTCTGAGTTCGAGGCCAGCCTGGTATACAGAGTGAGTTCCAGGACAGCCAAGGCTATACAGAGAAACCCTGTCTCAAAAAACAAAAACAAAGAAACCAAAACAAAAAACACCAATGCATGCACAAAAATCTCCAATTGGGTTGTCCAAAGCTGTAAAAGGGGGGAGAGAGTCTCTCTCAACATCCTAGACTTCACCCTCGTGTGAAAATTCTACATGGGAAAAGAATAGTATGGAAGAATATTCTAAGACATAGTAAGCCATTCCACAAAGCAGTGGAGCGTCTAAGACAACAAAGACTCAAGTACTGATGGAGCAAGGATGTTACCCCAGGCTACCTCCTGCTTTTCAGATTCCCTCCCTGCTAAAATGTCTTTCCTTTTGAAATAGTATTACAGAAGAAGTCAGATGGCCCTGGTTACAGAGAAGAAAGCTCCTTAAGAAAACCAAGCAAGATGAAATATGGGGCCCAAGGAAAGAATCATGGGGCAGAGTAGGTCTAGAGCTGGAGAGATGGCTCAGTGGTTAAGAGCACTGGCTGCTCTTCCAGAGGTCCTGAGTTCAACTCCCAGCAGACACACAGTGTCTCATGACCATCTGTAATGAGATCCAATGTCCTCTTCTGATATATGTTAAGAGGTCAGCAATGTGCTCATATTCATAAAATAAATAAATCAAAAACAAAACAAAAACCTAGGTCTATACATTAGAGGACTTCCAGCAGTTTCTCAATGTGTTACTTTCAATGTGATCCACCAGGTTGCTGGTGAGATGAGTCAGAATGAACCCATCCAGGGAGGCCAATGGAGTTATTAACACTATCAGTGAGGCTGCCTTTGAGGGACAGTTCGGACAAGCTGCATGCCGTGCATCCAAAGAGGACAGTAGGCATGACACTGCCCATTGTTCAAAATCTGGCTCCCATAGGCAGGATCTAATGACAGCTGCTCCAGGTGTGCCACCAGGTAAAAGTGCTTACCATGCAACCTGGTAACCTGAATCCATCCCTAAGACTCCAGCCTCAGCTACATGAAACTGGCTCAAAAATAAATGAAATTCTAAAATAGCTTTTAGTTTTGACCTTTTCACATCTTTGCATTCAATTACATGTGTGTTATCTTCTGCAGGCTTCAGGCTGGCGCTACACTAGCAGCTCTGACTGACGGCTTTGCACCTCACCTCTGACCCACATCTTCAGCACCTCACATCAGCCTCTTAACCCACTATCACTGCTTTTCTTTTTCAAAACATTTGTACATTCTTTTAAAATTTCTTTATCCCCTTAATATTATTAGGATAATGTTTAATGTCCAGAAATTTTTATATTTCCCAACTATTTTTCTAACTTTACAACAAAAGTTATACAATGATAGGGTTACTGGTTTCTAACTTAACTCTACTCTGGTCTCTGGGCACAAGTGAAAGAGCGTCTCATATTCCGGAATGTGGTCTGTCACGTAAGCTTAGAGAAATGTGCTTTTTGCTGTAGTCTTCACTCATCAACCACCCCTGCCAGTGTGCTCAGCAGCAGCACATGGAGGGTGACAGTCTCCGGTTCTGACCCATGTCACTGTGAAGAAATGAATGACTGTACCTTGTTATATAAGGACTGTCTTTATTCCTGGAAACTTCCTCTCAAGTCTGTTTTATCTGAAATTAATATAGGTACTTCAAATTTCTTTTGATTTATCAGCAAAGCCCAAAAGACAAGTAAAAAAGTAAGTAAGGCCCAGGCATGGAGGTCCATTCCTGGAATCCCAGCACTCTGAAAGTTGAGGCAGGAAGATTCCAAATTCCAGGCCAGCCTAGGGCTATATGAGACCTCATGCCTCAAAAAAAATGAAACAAAAAATTTACAAGCATATACACAGAGGAAGGCAGGTATGAAAACATCTGGTAGTTTCTGGATCTATTTTGGTGTGGGGGGGAGGGCATTTTCCATTCTTAGAAATACAAGTTTGTATACAAAAGGGTGTGTTCCCTTCTGAAAAGAAGAGTTTTTCCAATAATTATTTTACTGAAATGTAAAGTCATATCAAGGCAATAAAGTTTTAAATATTTTTAATTATTTTGCTTACATAGGTGCTTTGCCTGCATGTATGTCTGTACACCATTAGCATGCCTGATTCCCAAAGGAGGCCAGAGAGAGCATCTATTTCCTGGAATTGGAGTTACAGACTGTTATTCGCTATCTGTGGGTACTGGAACCAAACCTGGAAGAACAACCAGTGCTCTAAAGGACTAAGCTATCTCTCTATACAAACAAGTTGTTAATTAAGTAACCAAAAACAAGCAGAAGATAAAAGCATACTTTCACAACCTGTCTAATCAAGAGTCCCTTCTACATCTTTTCCTGAAAGGCTTATTCTGGGAAAGGCTGTTATTTCTTTTCTTTTTTTTTTTTTTTTCTTGGTTTTTCAAGACAGGGTTTCTCTGTGTAGCCCTGGCTGTCCTGGAACTCACTCTGTAGACCAGGCTGGCCTCGAACTCAGAAATCCACCTGTCTCTGCTTCCCAAGTGCTGGGATTAAAGGCGTGTGCCACCACCGCCCGGCCAAGGCTGTTATTTCTAAACAGCACTTGCCTGAGAACTATTACCCATCTCACTTTTCTCTCCATACTTCTGGCTATATTCAATATTTTGAATTCAAGTATAGTAAAAATACAAATGAGTGCTTTTTCTTTGCTACCTGGTATTGTCCTCTAATTTAAATCCCATATGTCTCATACTGTCCTTGCACTGTTACATTAGCTATTATTCCTTAAAAAATAAAAATATTCAGAAAACATCAATATTGTCATCTAAACAAGGTCTACTTAGATGAGATGGCTCAACAAGCCAAAGCACTTGCTGTGTAATTCTGACTACCTGAGCTTGACCACAAAAAGCCAGATGCGCTGGCTTGAATCTGTAATCCCAACATTCCTAAAGCAAGACTTGTGAACAGGAGAGCTCCAGGCTGGCCACCCTAGAGCACACAGAATGGCAGAAACAAGACAGATCCTGCTTCAGCAACGTGGGAGCAGAGAAATAACTCCTGCACAACATATTCAGAGTTCCACACATGTGCCATTTATTCTCACACCAGCACTCACATATACACACACCTTTAAAGTATAAATAATGTAATTAGAAAGTATATTTAATAAGGCTGGGTGGATACAGTTCAATGATTTAGTGCTTGTCTAATGTGTCTGAGGTTCCAGGTTCAACCCCCAACATTTAAAGGGGGGAGGGATGCATAGTAAGCTACTGACAAACTATTTGTCCTTTCCATAAACCCTCTTAGTACAAAAACAAATTACCTGAATAGAAGGCACTCAGTATCTTCTTTAGATAATTTAAGATTATGATTATTAAATAGCACATTGTAATGAATGAACTTCTAACATCCTGTATGACTATCACAGTTAATTTTTAAAGTACTGTATTCATTCACCAAAAAAACTGTTAACATATAAACTTGGGTCATGACTGATACCCAGCCAACCTCTCCTGCTGTATGAAGAAGGATGAAGTATGAAAGCAAGTGTGGTGGCACCTGCAACCCCAGCACTTGGGAGGCTAAAATATGAAGATTCCAAGTTCAAAGCCTGAGCTACATACATAGCAAAATGCCTTTGAAAACAAAGACAAAATAAAAAAAAAATAAGTCCACAAAATAAGCATGTGTCCTTACCACATCCAATGGAGGGGGAGCTACAATGACAACTACCCACTTGTAGCCTACTTGAGTTTTCTACAGGCAGCCTGTATTGGTTTCCTAGGACTGCCATAACAAAGTACCACAAACTAGATAGCTTAAAACATAGGGTATCTTTTGTCTTGCAGTTGTAGAGGGATAGATGTAATGGGGCTAGGGTGAAGCTCAGGAGTACAGTGTGTGCCCAGCATATGGGAAGCTTCACTCCATCCCCATCACTGAGAGTGAGAGGGTACAGAAATGTAATGATTTAAATTAGCCCACACAGAGACTAAGGAAAAGCCAAGTGAAGATACATACTCTGGCTAACGCCCAGCTGAAGTTCCAGCATTAACTCCAACCATGCACATGAACACATTCCAACCATGCACATGAGCACATTCCAACCATGCACATGAGCACATTTCAACCATGCACATGAACACATT